CTAACTATATTCCCATACATTGTATCCCTACACCTTATGTATTTATTTTATAATGGGAAGTCTGCATCTTCTATTCCCCTTCTTTTTGCCCATCTCCCCCTCACCTCACCCTCCACCGAGCTCTGGCAACCACTGGATTGTTCTCTGCATCTATGAGTCCGTTTTGTTTTTCATTATTGTTCATTTGTTTTGTTTTTGGTATCGGTCTTTCTCTGGCTTAATTCACTTAGCACGATACCCTCTGGGTCGATGGCAAATGGCCAGATTTCATTCTGGTTCGTGGCTGGGTAATATTCCATGATGGATACAGAATCAGATATTGATATAGATATATAGATACAGATTTATAAATACACACACACACATACATACGTACCACGTCGTCTTTATCCATTGATCTGTCAATGGGCACTTAGGTTGCTTCCATATATTGGCTACTGTAAATAATGCTAACAATAAACACAGGAGTCTGAGGGCTAATCCCTGAGCCCTCCAATGGGTGGAAATAAGATGTGGGAGAGCCAGCAAAGGGAATGGGAAGAGTTTGGTGCCTGGGAAGCCAGGAGAACATGACTTAAGGAGGAGGGAACGATCAGCTGCGTTGAACCCTAGAAGTAGGACAACGAATGAGACTGGGCCACTGGATTGAGCAACACGGGAGTCACGGTTACCTAACAAAGCATCTTTGGAGCAGTGCTGGGGCGGAAACCCAGAGTCCGTTCAAGACACAAAGGGAGACTGGGGCTGGATTTGGTGTTCAGGAATGCGGCCGTCCCACCCACCACCTGCAGTTTCAAATACCTGTGTTCCACCGCAGTCTGGAAGCAGATGAGCCTCTGAGCCAGCAGCAGCAGGTCAACAGCAACCTAACACCATTTCACGACGCTTACGTCGTTCCCTTTGTTTCATCTCGTCACACGGGTGTGTTATCATCTCACCCCATCACCAGAAGAAGGGAGAGCGCAGTACAATAAGATACCGTGAGAGAAAGCGACCACCTTCACAGACTTTTTATTCCAGCGTGTTGTTACAATTGTCCTATTGCATTGTGAGTTGTTGTGGTTGACCCGTTACCATGTCTAATTTGTAAATTAAACTGTATCGCAGGCATGTGTGTATAGGAAAAAAAGTAGTACCTACAGGGTTTGGAACGACACACAACTCCAGGCATCCACTAGACGTGTCGGGATGTATCCCCTGCAGAAGGGGGGTAGGCACTGTAGAGGAAACGTTTTCAAGGAGTTTTGAAGAAAGGGAAAGGGCTGTAGCTAGAGGGGGAAGAGGAGTCAAGAAAGGATTTTAAGGATTTTAAGGATGAAGAAATAATAGCACATTTATACTCTGATGGGGATGTATAATGCAGGAAAGTGAGGAGGAATCACCAGAATGATATCCCTGAGTAGGCAAGAGGGTAGAGTCCACTGCATCAGGGACGGTCCCTTTCTTGGGCCGCAGCCAGCTTGTCTGTCGCACTAGATGAGCGAGGTGTGTGGGCACAGGTGCTGCTGGGGCAGGGGGGTGGGGGTGCGGGGCACTGGGAGCCCATGGAAGTTCCCTCCAATTGTCTCCATTTTCTCGGTGGGAAACCAGAAAGCAAGGTCATCAGCTGAGGTGAGGCAGTAGAGAAGGTGTGGAGGAATGTATTTGCCATCTAGGAGAATGGCAGAGCGGACAGACGGGACAATCGTCGTGCACGTGCTGGGCCTGCCTGTCATTGGTCGTCATGAGTTTACAGCGCGTCCAGGCAGAGTGGTAAGAACGGACGAGGGAATGAATAAATCTCTCAGAAGAGATCAACAGACCAGAAGCCACACAAAAGAAAGTTCGGCTAGGCCTCTCTTTTCCTCCACAACAAACGACAGCAATGCTGGAGACGTGTAGCTGGACACTGAAAGCAGGCTCCTTTCCGCTGGGCCCCAGGCACCACCTTGCCCATGGTTATCGCCCCACTAAATAGTTGCTCTCAAGGGAATATTCAAATCCAACATCATTCTTACCTTTGAGCAGTAAGAGTATGTCAAGAACACAGACATTAAGCCAAGCAGCCCAGAGTTTTGGTCCCAGCTCTGCCAATCACTAGCTGTGTGAGCTCAACCTCTCTGTACCTCGATTTCCTCATCCGTAAAATGGGAATAAATAATAATAGAACTTTCCTCACTGGGCTGTCCTAAGGATTCAATAGCATGTCCTTTGCCTAACACAGTGTCTGCCTTATGGTCAGCGTTTCACCAACAAAAGCTACTGTAAGTCTAAGGAAGTCAACAACAGACCCAGGCCAGCGAAAAGATTAGTCATGATCCAAATTCCTTATCATACCTGAGTGATGCCTTTGTTTTCAGAGCTTAAAATGTAAGTGCTATTGTGCAGTTGTTAACGGTTACTGGCCTCTGTCCAGAAGATTGCTTCTGTAACCACCTGATCTACACCCTCTAAGAATCAGTAAATCAGTTCCAGAGCAAGGACTATTATGTCCATTGATTAATAATAAAAAGACAAAGTCTTGAACCATGAATCTCCAATGAAAGAGTGACTTCGAGCCAATGTGTTTATTTTCTTTAAGACACCTGTCTAAAACACAAATTATCACCGAGTACAGTCCTAGGTCTGGGCAAGAAGTACAAATTCGAGTAAGACATTCCTCTTTTCTTCAAGATAATAGTAGTTAATATTTATTAGTACCACGGTACCAGGCACGATGCCAATAACTTTTATAACCAAGAATTTAATAGGGACGCCTGGGTGGTTCAGTTGGTTAACCAACTCTTGACTTCAGCTCAGGTCATGATCTAACAGTTTGTGAGATCAGGCCCTGCATCGGGTGCAAAGCCTGCTAGGGATTCTCTCTCTCTCTCTCTCTCTCTCTCTCTGCCCCTCCCCTGCTTGTGCACTCTTTCTCTCTCTCAAAAATAAATAAATAAACTTAAAAAGAGTTTAATTACTTCTCATCTCAACCCTTGTAGCAGGTGCCATTATTACAACTGAGGAAATGAAGACTTCAAGAGGTCACAGGCCTTGTCCTGGGTCAGGCAGCTTGACCTGACAGTGGTTTGAACCAAAACCGTCTTTCTTCCCTCTTGAACCTGCAAGTGAAATGGGCAACCAAGGTCTGGCTAAGAGCCTGGAAGGTCTTGCTGAACAGTGACCCTCTTGGCCTTCTGCTTCCTGCAGCTTTTTCCTGCAGGTGCTCTGTGTGGAGGAGAGTCAGGGATTACAACGCAGAACAGATCTATCTGTGTGATTCAATTCAGTGAACTAGGATGAGGTGAGGTGGCAGCCGTTAGATTCAGTATAGCATCAGCCACAATTAAGATTTCAAGCTGTGGTTGTTGATGTTAAGGTGTCCGTGGCTTTCAAACTCTATCCAGAGGCGTGCTGGAAAATAAAACCTTCCATATTGGTCTGAAGGAAGGTTTTATAGGTTCCAAATGAAAGTAGCCTAGAATGTGGAGTCAGAAAACGTCCCCACGGAAAGGGAAGCTAAAACAATCAATATCGACACGATGAGCTCAGCCATCACCAGAAATCCCTCCAACATAAAAGATGTTTTGATAATATATTGCAGATGAGACTTGGGCAAGGATCCTCCACAAGGAGACTAGAACTGTTGCCAAATTCAATCAGGGACACCCAGGTGTCTTCCTTATCCAATCAAGAGACCAGAGTCCCCCTCAAATTCAATAACATTGACCGTGAAAAATGGCATGAGGATGTCAATTAAGTCATCAAAGAACACTGCAAATCTTCTCTATTGCATTATGACCACTATCTGAGTGGGCACTGTGTCAACGGAAAGAAATCCAGGGGGGTGGGGAGTGAACACAAAACATTTTAAATGCGCCACTCTTCACCAGGCCCTTTTGAGGAAAAGGGACTGCACGGACCCTCGAGGACTGATTTCGGTTACATCCAGAAAAACTAACTCCAAGGAATAGGAATTTAGCAAGGAAATAAAGGGTAACTGAAATGTCGCAGAAGAAGGTAGCTCCTTTTGTTCTGTTCACCGCCCATCAGGCTTCTGATCTCCGTTCTTGGTTCCCAGGTGCACCGCCTACCAGGACAGCAGGCCCTGAGCAAATGTGCCTTCCTGTGAGACGTCGCACCCATCCACAGGCAATCCCATCAATCCTACCTCCAAAGGGCGCTGTATCTGCCCACCCCACCCCCATCCCCACCCCCACCACCTTGGCCCAGGCCATGTGGCTCCCTCCCACCATGTCACTCTCTCTTGACCTTTAACACTGCCGGCGTGGCCCACACAGCAGCCACATGAGTCTTCTCAAAATCCCAATCTGCCTTCAATCGTTTAGGAACAAGACTCATAGTTTCAGAAATGGTATAAACATTTGTCTGACCATCTGATTAAGCTCTCAACGAAAGAAGATTCAAAAAAACCAGATCATCTCACCATAAAACCGACAAAACCAGAAGTAGACTCATCTGTTCGAAATCAGAAACCCTTGGGGCGCCTGGGTGGCGCAGTCGGTGAAGCGTCCGACTTCAGCCAGGTCACGATCTCGCGGTCCGTGGGTTCAAGCCCTGCGTCGGGCTCTGGGCTGATGGCTCGGAGCCTGGAGCCTGTTTCCGATTCTGTGTCTCCCTCTCTCTCTGCCCCTCCCCCGTTCATGCTCTGTCTCTCTCTGTCCCAAAAATAAATAAACGAAAAAAAAAAAAAAGAAATCAGAAACCCTTAGCACTTTAAATCCACACACACAAAGTTAAATGTTGAGAGGACAACAAATTATAGCAACCACCTCAGGAAATAAATAAATCCTGACAATAAATAGATCTCCCCGCTGTGACCGGATCTAGGATAGAGTATAATATTCTACTTCAGGTTTTCCACATTGCTGAATTTTCTGTGTAGGTAAAAAAAAAATACTGGAAATGATCAGATTTAAACGTGGTTATCCAGTATGAAATAGGACTTGCGGTTTAAAACAGAAACACTACAGAGAGTAATTAGTTGTGGCAATGTAAATCATACCAAAAAGTAAGGCATGTAGAAAAGAACGAACAAATTGAGCATAAGTTAAATTTAAAAATCCAAGGCATTTTGTTTTGAGGCATCTTTGAGCTCGCCGAGCAGACACTAGAGGCAAAACTCCCCTCCTGGGATGGAAAAATTTATGGGCAAGAAGTTACGGTCACAATTAAATGGTGGCGGACAAGGCCAAGGGGGATTTGGTCCCTTTATGAGTCTTTTGATGGATGAACGCGTGGGGACGGCAACCAGTAGGCAACAGAACAATGTGGGAAGGGTGATAAAGAGAGGAAAGAGCATCGCCATGACAGAAGCGTTGGCTAGAGCAGAGACAATGGCTGGGTTCACCAGAGAGAGTGCTCCCTTCCACAGCACCTGTTTATTATCATATAAAAATCAGGTTGTGCGCATTTTCCTATTGAACTTCTTTGTGAAATCAACTTTTATAACAGTAAAAAAAAAATAAAATAAAATTCAAACCTGACCATCGCAATTCCTCTGCTTCAATGGCTTCCAACTAATCTCAAAATTCTGACTCCCCGATTTGGCCCACTAAGTGCTCACAGTAGGACCCCTCCATGGCTCCAGCCCCTGCGGCCACAGGGCCTGTAACCATCTCCTGGACCACATCCTCCTCTTTACCTCAGGCTAGCTGATTTCTCAGCCTTCCAGAATCTTCTGGGGGAGCCCCCCACCCAAACCTACTATCTCCTCCCCTCATTCTCAGGCACAACACTCCCCTTTACTTCTCCTTCTCTCAAGCTGACATCCTTTTGTTTATGAGTGACTCTGCCATATAACCAGGGAACCCCAGCTCCTAGCTCAGTGCTGAGCCCAGAGGGGCTAGTCCCCAGAGGCTTATTTAGGCTTCCCACAAAGATTATCAAAACAGGAGCTTATCCGCACAATGACAGTCCACATATGAGCCAAGATTAAAGGCCCCATAAACCCTGAACACCTGAAGGGTCTCAATAGAACAACTGATTAACTGAGGGGCTTTTCGTGTAAATCACTCCCCCTTGGAAACCCAGCTCTAGATTATCTGGGACATTTTCTCTTCAGACAGATGGTTATTTCCTTCAAAGTGGGTGAGGAAATTGTTCCTGAGAGCTTTGGAAGATCGTCATGAAGGAAAACTCCAGTTGTTAGGCTCCCTGGGATTAATGCCTTTTGTCCCTAACTAAATAAAATAATTATATTAACCGAGGATGGAGGGCGGCATGGAACAACCCTTTCAGAGAGTGACAGTAACAATCAGGCAGCACTCCCTTTATCTGCAAAATCTCACAAGTGTTCTCGTGGTTCCTTCCAGGTCCCAGGTAGGTCTGTGCTGTGCTGCTCCCTCAAAAGCAAGACGTGGAGTGAGGCTTGCTGCGCCAGTGGGCTAGGAGGCGGATGTGAGGTGTGCCCTTTCCGGTGGAAGCTTTAGGAACCCACGGGTGCCTCCCAGGGCCCTTGCCCTGCCCTGCTGGTTATAGAAGCATGTTTCTAGGCAGAGCCTCATGGGTCTGGGTCCCTGAGTGACAGTAAAGAGCTGAACCCCCCATCAGTCAACACTGGATACAGAGCATTAGTGGGAAATAAGACATTATTTTTAGCCACTGAAATTTTTGATCGCTCCTGACCGCGACGTAATCCAGCCATTCTGGACTGACACCGTGAGCTGACCTGTCACTGGCAGCTGGAATTGTAAATGGTCGTTAGGCTCCTATCACAGACAGGACGCTACAGGCCCTCAGACGGTGGAGGCTGGAGCCCCACACCCATGAGGAGGTGAGGCCAGACTCTCAGCATATTCCAACCAACAGTTACTCATAGATATGCATTATTTGTCAGACACTGAGCTAAATGCTAGGGATACGGCAGACTGTTGCTAGAAAATTCCTATGGACGCCGTGAGGAGGGGCCCCCTGGCAAGCTGAACAAAGTCAGGAAAGCAGCGAGGTAGCCGGCAAGGCAGAGAGTAAAGGAGAGATGGCCTGGGCCTCAGGAGGAGCAGCTCTGCATGTGGACAGGACAGTACGGGTGACTCAGCGATCAGACCGACTCCTGCAGGCACTCTCCCAAGTGCTTCCTGTGCGGTCACACCCTGTGTCCTCACAGCGCCCTAAAAGACAGGCCACACCATTGCTGTCATTTCATAAGCAAGGAAAGTGGCAGGAAATTGGAAGGAAGGAAGGAAGGAAGGAAGGAAGGAAGGAAGGAAGGAAGGAAGGAAAGAAAGAAAGAAAGAAAGAAAGAAAGAAAGAAAGAAAGAAAGAAAGAAAGAAAGAAAAGGAAAGAAAAGAAGGAAGGAAAGAAGGAAAAAAAGAGAGAGAGAGAGAGGGGAAAGAAGTTAACTAGCACCCCAGCTAAACTGAAAGGCAGGAAAGTTAAGAACACATACATTAGAGGGGTGCCTGGGTGTCTCAGTCAGTTAAGCATCCGACTTTGGCTCAGGTCATGATTTCATGGTTCCTGAAACCATGGTTCGAGCCCTTTGTCGGGCTCTGTGCTGACAGCTCAGAACCTAGAGTCTGCTTCGGATTCTGTGTCTCCCTCTCTCTCTGCCCCTCCCCACTCATGCTCTTTCTTTCTCTCTCTCTCTCTCTCCAAAATAAATAAACATGAAAACAACTTTTTAAAAAAGGAACACATACGTTAGAAATTAGGAATGGTAGAGTGTTGCCTTGGCAGAGTGGAGACCAGCCCTCTGGTTGGAGGTATATGTAACACACTGACTTACTGTGACCTAGGGAAGGCTGCCAAAGATGACGTCAACGAAGGCTATGGATTTGGCTCGGTCAAAGTACGTCTGAGAACTAAGTCTTGTAGGGGAGTGGAATTTTCTACTTCTGGTCATGCTTACACTGACACAGAGCAAACGTCAGGCAACCTAGAGACCACGTATAAGGTCTGTAGCTACGGACTTGCCTTCACCCAGAAGTGGAACATAGATGATACTCTTGGAACAGAAATCGCTTCACAGAATAAGTAGGCTGAAGGGTCGAAACGTACTCTCGATACCGTATTTGCACCGAACCCAGGAAAGAAGAGTGGGAAATTGAAGGCCTCCTACAAATGGGATTGTTTCAGTCTCGGCAGTAATGTTGATGCAGATTTTTCTGGACCGATTGGAGGTTGGCTTGCTGGCTCTCAGACGAGTTTTGACACAGCCAGATCCAAACTGCCACAGAATGGTGTCGCCCTGGGTTACACAGCTGCCGACTTCCAGCTGCACATGCATGTGAGTGATGGCCCTGAATTTGGAGGGTCTGTCTACCAGGAGGTTAATGGGAAGATTGGAACATCAATAAACGTTGCTTGGATGGCTGGCAGTAACAATATCTGGACTGTAGAACTTCTCTATCTGCTACAGGAAATAAGATGAGCCCGACCGGACTGGGTTATACTCAGACCCTTGGACCAGGAGTCAAACTGACCCTACCAGCTTTCACAGACAGAAAGAACGTCAATGCAGGAGGCCACGAGGTTGGGCTGGGATTTGAACGAGAAGCCTAATGTGGTTTTGAGGAAAGCATCTGATTTGTCCTTGGAGGTGAAGAGAACCCACTATGTTTGGCCTTAAAATTCTTCCGTGAAATTTCAAAAGTGTGAACTTCTCATTCTTCCAAAGAATTGCAATCCTCCCCACACTGAAGTGTAAAGATCGCAAGTGCGTTGTAAGGAAGGAACTTGAAGGCATGCCCGAAGGTTGTCATACTTGTGCCGCGTTGCAGGTGATTTCCACTGTGTTATTTTATTTTATTTATTTTATTTTTATTTCTATTTGAAATTTTTTTAATGTTTATTTATTTTTGAGAGACAGAGACAGAGCATGAGCATGAGCATGAGCGAGGGAGACACAGAATCCGAAGCAGGCTCCAGGCTCCCAGCTGTCAGCCCAGAGCGTGACCTGGGGGTGACCGGACCTGCCTGTGAGCCAGAGAAGGAGCCAGAGAGTGAGACGGCTCCTCCCTACTCCACAGAAGAGCCATCTCAACCCAAGATCATAACAGGCCAAATGCTGGGCATCACGTGCTGTCTGGGATACCTGTTTCCCAAGTTCGGCATATACAGCTGCACCACTGCACTTGCACGTTAGTTACTGAGAGCCCGGCCGTGAACTTCTGAGTCCATCTCTATCAAAGAAGAAAATTATATTTAACCTGCCTGAGTTAGCTCATCAAATTTTGACAACCAGTCTTCCTCAAAAGCCTGAAGAATCTCTTTGACCTGATCAGAAGGGACCACTTAAAGTTGGCAAGCAAAACCACCCAAAACTTGAGAAATGGGTGAAGAGTCAAAAAGTATTACAGCATAGCACATCTCTTTAGCTTTTTGAGATGCTTAAAGTCAATAGGCTAATAAATGTTCGCGTCAACATGATATTTTACATAAATCACTGAAACTTTTCTGCTTTACTTACTCATCTAAAGAAATTCCCCAGGTTGATGACTCCAGTAGAAACAAACACAGAGGTTTGTAATGACTCTACCGTGACATTTGGAAGCACTTTTCTGAACATTGAACTTGCCTGAAGTCCTGAGACAAAATACAAAATTTTATTTTCCATTCTATTTCTTTTCTGCCAAGGTAGAGCGATAAAGTTGAATTTATATACCCATTTTCACCAACTCATTTTCCTTTTTATAATTTTAGGGCTAACTGTACTATAGAAAATCCAACCGAAATTTATAACTAACATCAGCCACGGTTGCTTGCTAAGAGTCCAAGAAAACTCATTAAAAAAAAAAAAAAAATCACTCCCTTTCAAATGTGAAATGTCTAAGTTACCACAGCAATCATGAAAGCTATAATCCACAAACCAGCAGAATATTTATGCTTTAAGTGGGTATTTATAGATTTCTATAATATCGTGCTTACTTGGTGACAGGTTCCACACTGTACAGTTGAAGGTATATGTATAATCGTCTCATTTGCTCATCGCAAGGACCCCATAACATAGGTACACAGCTACATTATTCCCATTTCACAGTTGGGCAAATAGAGAGGTTGAATAGCTTGTTCCAAGGTACACAGTGTGGAATTAGTAGAGGCAGATTCAAACCCAGCAGGTCTGGACAGAGAGTATGCACCCTTGACTACCATACTAAAATTGTCCCCTTGCTGACCATAACCTAAAGATCTATACACAGAAACCAATTTGGTGAAAGTGGCTGGATTCAGTCAAATAACAAAGTTAGGTTTTCTTTTTCTTTTCTTTTTTTTTTTTTAATGTATATTTATTTTTGAGAGAGAGGGTGTGAGTCAGAGAGGGGCAGAGAGACAGAGAGGAGGACCAGGGCTCCAAAGAAGGTTCTGGACTGACAGCACTGAGCTCGATGCAGGGCTCGAACTCACAAACCATGAGATCATGACCTGAGCCAAAGTCTGATACTTAACTGACTGAGCCACCCAGGTGCCCCTTCTTTTCTTTAATATCACTTATTCCCAGGCTACTTGGCTATAAAACCCATATCAGACTTAGCATTTCCAAAAAACTAATTCACATTCTACCCCCACGTCCTATTTCCCACTTTATCTAGTAACTGCTATGGAAGAAGAAGGAAGAGGAGGAGGGAGGGAGGAGGAGGAGGGGGAGGACGGAGAGGAGAAGAAAGGGTAAACATATTGCAAACCATTTACTGCACAAAGTAATTTTACTTCAAGTCTCAAATTAGAGAAGCAGTGAAAAAGAAAACCTGTCATAGCTCCAAATCAAAAATAAATCAAGTCACATTAATGAAAGACGGTAACAAAAATACACTCAAAGCATGTTCTGTTTGTCGGGAAGATGCTTCCCACAGACTCCAAGCAGCCCCCAGTGGCTCAGCGCTCCAGCGTGCTACAATTAAGGCGAAGGACAAAGCATCTTATTATATCTAGAAACCAGACAGCTAGGCTCATATGTGACATTTTTCCTAATTAAGGTATAGGCAAGAAAACCATTATGTGCAAGAAACCACTTCGATACTTGGGAAGGGGGATACCTGAGAAAACAGGAAGTGGAGAAAAAGGGAAGAGCAAAGGTGACAGAAAACAATGCTAATTCACAGCTAAACATTCAAGATGTTTTTTTTTTAATTTTTAAAAATGTTTATCCACTTTTGGAGGAGAGAGAGAAAGAGTGCAAGGGGGGGGAAGGGGCAGAGCGAGAGAG